CAACGTTCATTTTCACATGCATGGGGGAAAAAAATCTATTGTATTTGAGATACTATATATTTGGGATTTGTTAGTCAAAGCAGCAACTGGTTACATAGTTAATTAGAAATTAGGACTTTGAAGTGGGCACTGTCCCTTCACAAAAACAAACTACGTGACGCTGGCTTAGCAGGTGGTGAGAAAACTGGTATCCGAAGCTGGAGAGAAGGAAAGCCACGTTTCCCAGAGGTAAGTCGAGCTGTGTTCTGCAGCCTCGTGGAAGACCAGGCCACAGACGCGTTCAAAAGAGTCAGACTGATGCTTCATGTTGGCTCCTATCTTCCCCCTCAGCAAGGTATCACAGGTGCACCCAGGAAAAACTGGTCAGTCTGCCAGCAGAAATGGAAGGGAACGCAGTTCAGAAATCGGGGGCCTCCAAGGCTGGGAAGCTGACTGCTTCTGCGCCCCAAAAAGAGACGGGAGACTGAAAGAAGGCCATGGGCCAACAAGGCTCAAGGCTCATGTCCAGTGCAAGGGTGAGGGGCGCACCTTTAATTTCAAAAATGTAGACACTGGCACATGAAACTGGCTGAAAATAGGTTAGACACCCGCAAAGTTGTTAAGGGCACAGTATTGCCAAAGAAGCAATGGACTCAGACTAAAAAAGTCTTGCACTGTTTGAGTTTTCAAGTAACCTTCAGACCTCCCAAAGGCGCACTGGCAGGAATCAGGCCTGAGAGCCATGCGTCCTCCCAGGAGAGGAAACTGCCCGCCGCCTACCCCAGACGGCCCGTGGAGGAGGCACCGTGGAACCCCCGGGAGGTGGAGCCAGCAGCTCCAAACAACTCCTCCAGGGAGCGGAATCGGGGTCTGATCCGGGAACTGCTCTCACCCCCACGGGGGCACCTTCCCAGGGCCCACCCGGGACCAGCAAGTGCTGAGTAGTCTTCTCCCCTTTCTTAGTGGGACTTTCTATTGCAATTTTCTGCGTAGGGGTTGGGATGGGAAAGTCAGGCAAATACCTTGACTTTTTGGTTCATAGGTCCCCAGACCATGGGGGCGGGGGAGACCAATAAATATAACAGAGAGAACTGCACATTATTTGGAGTCAGGACTTTGGGTCTTCTCCCTCGGAAAAGGGCAAAGAGCTCTGAGCGTGAGAATGAAGCAGGGATTTGGTATCCAGGAGGGCAGGCTACGTGGACCGGGCTACCCGTTCAGCCTAAGAGACGGCATTGCCCACCGTGTCCCTGGCAGTTTGGTGCTCCTATGTGACTGAGCTCGAGCAAGCGCTGGGAGCAGAAGTGATGTACGCCACACCATCGAACTTCCGGTGAGCACCCTCCCCGCCACATGGGCTGCTGACGAGCACAGGAACCCTGGCAGCTGTATATTGAAAAGAGCGGGGCCCCAGTAGAAGCCCAGGTATGCGAATCACTAATAGGAGATAAAACCATCAACCAGATGAAGGCTCTGCAGCTTTATATGAGAGAAGACAACTCCTAGGGGTGATTCACCTAGGGGTCAGGCCCTCAGGGGCTGAGCATATAGCACCTGGCATTTACCTGCACTAAAGGCAGCGACGGAACTGAGATAGAAGCCCAGCGGCCTGGCTCTGGTCAGCGCTGCCTTTGTGCCCCTTATGTGCTGATGGGGACTGGAAGCTAAAAAGACTCGTGGGGTGTTTTCCTCCGCATTTCCCCGAGCCCCAGTCAAAGAGACGGCCTTGAGCGCTCCCAGCAAGTGTGCTCTTGGCTGGAGAGCACTTGCTGGAAGCCTATAAGGTAGACGCCTTTGTAAATGACATGACCATCTAGTGCGAATACACTAACCACAATTTCAGTCAATGCACACACATCAGTCCGTCAAGTGCTGGAGTTGGCACCTCAGATCCTCTGTCCAAACGCGTTATTTTACGGGAAAGGAATAGCGCCCCCACTGGGCGTGCTGACCAAATCACAGGGGTGCTGAGCGCAGGCACCAGGGCCCAGGCCTCGGGGGACCTGCTTGCTGGTTCTTTCTGCGCCCTGTTGCAAAGAAGGCAAGCAGCAGAAGACGAACCTGAAGCCGTCGCAGTCCCCGAGGCTCTGCTGTCACACGTCTTTTCGGGTTTTGCTGGGTTAACCTCTGAGCCTTGGGGACACCCGTTATGTACATTATGATGACTATACGTATTAAGTCACATCACTTAGTAAAAACATTATATATGGGCCCAGGATTGTGTGAGCCATTCCAATGACACCCAAATGAATAAGCGCTTCCTGTCCGGAGCCCTCCTGGAGCCCACGTTTTAAGGGAGCCGCACACGCAGGATAATCGCAGAGGGAAGTACCGAGAGCAGCAGCAGGCAAAGTAAAACGATACTATGAAGCAGGAACTCGAGTGCATTCGGTTTTCCGTCAAAGTAAAAGGAGACATCTCGTTTTTCAACACGTGCTCCAAAAGCACCTGGAGAGCAGACGCTGGCGCTGTTACAAGCACACGTGCAGCAGGGATAGCAGGACTTCACCCAACACAGGCGAAACTCACCTTGCTTTCCAAAAAACGCTCTCCTAGCAGCCCCAGGACAGGGGTGCGAGGTATGCTCGCGCTTTCCAGCGCCAGTGGGTAAAACAGCACTTTTTGCATAAAGCCCAGCACTTCATGTAAAATATGTCTTGTGATAAAAGGCCGATCACTTCTTTTTTGCCAGAGTTGAGGCACTAGTCAATTTTTGGTTAATATTCTAAGATGTTATGATACTTTGTAACTTATATAAAATATTATGCTACATTATCAGATGACTTTATTGCAGATAGGGATGGAGCTAGAGTTCATACATCTTCTGGGTTGTAAGGGTAAAGTTCCAACTACTTATCATTCAATATTCCTTTCCCACAGAAAAAAAGAAAGCATTGTAGGATTATTGTTTTGACACACATGCATACACAGACCTCTCTTGATAGTTGACAGACTCTTTTATTAACAATCAAAAAACGCCACACTTATAATAGGAAAATAAATACTTCTCTATTAGGCGAAAACTATCCAGGACCTTATAGCATTTTTAATATATACTATGCATATCTCAGAAGAAAAAAAATACCACGTGGGATATGACTGAAAATGGGACAGTAATTTATAAAAGGTACCTAATAGCTTTCCCAAACAGTAGTTCCCCTGAAAACAGGACATAAAACCTGTATTTATACCTAGTTTTAGATATGACTCACAATGCACATCAATCTTTTTTTTTATTTTGATGTTACTTTTTCAAAGTACTCAACAGAAATTCCCATCCCATTTTAAGATCCTGAATCCAAAGTGTGCAATAAAGCTGTGACCTCTCACAGCGAAGTTCAGCGATCACACACAGACACCTCGTCAGGGACAGTGCGCGGCGGCGCCACTTTCCTGCTGGGCGGGGCCTGCCGAGGTGCTGCGAGCGCATCTGGACCCGATCCGGCGCTGCGGGTTCTTCTGTTGTCAAGGCCCTTCCTGCACAACCACTTGTTCTTTCCAGGAGAAACGCCTGCCTCGCCTTTCGTTTCTTTTCTCTTATGAAAAACCAGATTAACAGAACCTTGGTCTCATTTTCTGCTGCGTAATTAAAAGCTTTGCTCTGTAAGTTACTTTAGCCTCTTACAATCCCGCGGACAGGAAGGAACCAGCAAAACTTCAGCGAGGTGGGCTTCTCCTCCACATACAGCCAAAGCAGCAGTGGAGTCCCCATAGAAACTTGAACATTGGATTTTTTTTTTTATCTTAAAGCTTAATAGGAGTCCAAAAGCTTTATGTAAATCAGTGGTCTCTGTATATCTTTGTTAGTTCAATACACACCATGACCTAGCAGAATATATTCCGAAGTTCCCCTTTCAAACAGTCCTGCTGTTTCTAGATGGTCCGTCTGAAGGGCCCCCACCTCGGGTCTAAGTACATAGGCCTACAGATCCCTAAGGCCAGCAGCGACCCCGCAGGCCCACTTGCGCCCAGCGAAGGCACGGCCACACGGCGCGTGAAGACGGCCGCAGTCTCTGCAGTGTCTCCCACGCACACCCCGTCACCCTCCGCAACACTCGTACAATTCAGAAAGCCTACATACTTTCCTCCTTGAATTCTGAAAGAAAGGGCGTTGAATTTTTTAAAACTTTAGTCTTCAACATTGAAACTGCTAGGTTACTCCACTTTCCCATGAAGAAATAGGAAACTAAAGTGGGCGGGGGGAACAAAAGATAAAAAAATAAAACAAACTTGGGAAAGCAGCCTGCTACTTACACAAGTTTAAGAAAAAATCTTCTAGAGAGAAAATATGCCAATAGAAGGTAAAACCTACGTGGGTTGCTCAACACAGCACTCGTGATAAAACGTTAGAAACAAACGAAATATTCAGGAGCAGAACTGAGATAAACTAGGAAATGTCCAATTGATAAATTACTTCGCAGCCATTAAGGACGAGGAAGACGCTGAAACACTGGATGCATGACAACGTCGGGCCAAATACACCCCGACTCCATGCTGCTGGGAACAGCTCCTCTTGCAACAGCAAAGTGGGAACATAATCTGACAGGCTGTGTCGCGGTACCATGTGGAGAGTTTCCCCTTTATTGAAAAAACCCCAGAATAGAAAGCTTCTATAGTGACTGCACACTTTCTAAAAGAAAAGAAAAACAACAAAATGGAATGACTCAAGAGCAGGTCTTCAGGGAGGCACGGTCCTGCAGGAGGCGCACAGCTGACGGTGGGAAACCACTCGGCCACTCGTTCCCGGTCCCAGGAAGGCACCGCCTGGCCCAGCAGGGGCCTCGCCCGCCGGCACTGCTCAGCACAGGGCGCACGGAGAGGGCCGGCGCCCCGCCACACGGATGGCGGCCTCATCCCCATCATCGATTTTATCAGCTGGGTCTGCATTTATCCCTTTTGAGCACTTTCACAACACACATTTCTACGCTTGAGGACAAAACTTCTCATATATCTTTACATTTCCCCTTAGAGAAAAACAGACACGCACAACTACCTCCTTCTCATAATAAAGCAATTCTCAATTGGCAATCACAACATATATCTTTTAATGACAAAATTGTGTTAACTCTGTGCAACATGTGACTATAAATAAAGATCACTGGGTGATGTCTACAAGAAGGAATATTAGACATAGGATTACTTACAAAAAAAGCACTTTTCAATAGAAAACTAAATATTTCCCTTGGGAAAAAAATTTAATATTTTATTGTTAAACTGGGTTAAAAGACTAAATTTTCTGCAAATGCAGTAGAATGGGATCAGAAAGGCTTCCCAAGAGGCCCCAATTGTATAGGGATGCGATACTTCTGACGGTTTTTTGGTGGCATTAACAACCTCCTGGTACTTTCTGTGAAGAAACTGTTCAATCGGAAGGTTAAATCATACAAAGCAGTATTTTCAAACAGATGCCCAGTAACAAAATTTTAAAACAGGACATTATTCATAGCGCTAAATTATGTTTATCAAATACTTGAATCAGCTACATTCAGATTCACCACAACAAAGCAGCCTGAGTATATGAAGGTACTGTGCATCACTACAGAAACAGCCAGAAAGGCCTTGTGTGCTCGGTGCGATGTGGGCGTTCTACTTTTTGCAAGCCTTGTATCTATCACTGACATCCTGCCAGTTGATTACATTCCAAATAGCTCTCAGGTAATCGGGCCTGACATTTTTGTACTGCAAGTAGTAAGCGTGCTCCCACACGTCGATCCCCAGCAGTGGAACGAGACCTATCAGAAAGGACAGAAAAAGCAGAAACTATAAACTTCAATTTAAACACTGCATCTTCTCAACTTAACCTCTTTCCTATGCATCCACAATTACCCTTTACAACATTCTCATCCAGTTTTCAGTTTCTTATATAAACAGGAAATGTGCATAAGAATGTGCCTATAAAAAGATTCTAAACTTTACTCTTTGGAAGAAAATGTGATTGGTACTAAAAATAATTAGAATAGACCTGGGAAAATCCATTAACTACAGTATTTTAATAGTTGCTCCTAAAATACCAACGAATTTATCCAAGAGCCTCACTGAGGGTCCCAGTGAGGGTGTGTTGTTTGTGGGGGTGAGTAAGGACTCTCCAAAGGTCCTGAGTCCTCAGGGAGGTTATCAGAAATGCCCAGCCCTGGCTGGTGTGGCTCAGTGGACTGAGTGTCAGCCTGCGAACCAAAGGGCCGCGGGTTCGATTCCCGGTCAGGGCACATGCCGGGGTTGCAGGCCAGGTCCCCAGTCGGGTTGCAAGAGAGGCAACCGCATGTTCATGTTTCTCTCCCTCTCCTTCTCCCTCCCTTCCCCTCTAAAAAATAAATAAAATCTTTAAAAAAAAGAAAAAAGAAAAAAGAAAGAAACCTGCCCTGATCCCCAAGGCTAACGTCAGTCTTGGAGAACAGAAACATCTATGAGACAGTACCAGAAAGAACAAGTTAGCACGGAAAATGGAGGAGGACTGGAGAGAGAGGTGCACAGGAGGTGCAGCCAGGTGTCACCTGGAGTCACCTGTGGAGGGACACCTGACTCCCTGCAGCACCCAGTGCTCCCGAAGTTCTTGCTGCTCACAAATTCTGTGGCATTTCACCTTCTCCAAAGGGCTGTTTAGGTTCTAGAAAAACCTGAGTAGGTCCAGGGAAGAGTCATGTAACCAAGGCTCCTGACATGTGCAGAGGCAGAGAAGGCGGCTGAGAACCGCTGCTGTTTTGACGTTACGAAAGTGGGACTTTGGCATCTTCACATAAAAGGTCACAGTCCCTGCTAACTGCTGGGCGACTTACAGTTCTTTTCCTAAAGAGCTTCTAATTCCATCTGGCTCCACACGAAAAAGGACTGCGTGAGCCTAGCTTGGAGCTTCTAAGCCAAGTGGAGTCAGACTCCAAAACGCCCAGAATGCTCTCCTCCCAGTTTGACCACAAGTGCTCAGTAGAAAGAGTAAGAATCCAAGGTCTGAAAACAGAGGTCTTTTTCCTCGCTCTTGTTTATCTAATTTTAGGGTTTTTTTTAATTTTAATACATATAATTATGTAAGCCAGTACAAACTCACTGTCAAGTGAAGCAGTTTATGTTTAAGACATTTTTTATCAATGTATCTAAAATTACACGTGCTTATTTTAGATAGGATTTAAGATTTCAAATCATTAAGAACTTTTAAAGCATGTTTGCTTACACAGACTCTGGATAGCACGCACTAAGATTTGCTCCAATAAGTACATGCCCATCATTGGCTTAAACCCTGCTAGTTTTTCCTGTTCCAAGTGAATGCTTTCTAGTGAACCACCTCCCCCGAATGCACGTGTAACACTTCCAATCTCACCTGTTGTTCCTTGCAGGGGGTCCTGGTTAGAACAAGCAGCAATCTGTAAGCGTCCTTGTTCCTTATTGAAACCAAGCCAACCCCAACCTGAGCCTTGAACGCCAGCAGAAACAGTGGTCAACTTCTCCTTAAATTTGGCGAAGGAACCGAAGTCACGGTTGATGGCTTCAAGCAATTCCCCTATTCAAAAGAAAAAAATCCAGAGAACTCCCACAAATGAACAGAATGCAGTACGGTAACAATTACGGTATCTTATTACCTATACAAAAGTATTCTGCTCATAGGGCCCAATACGCAACTAGACAACACCATAGAAGACACAACAAAACCCAGCAAGCCCCCGCAAGCTGCGTCACACCCTGCCCTGAAACCAGGGTCCCGGGCTCACGGCTTTACCGCGCACGCTTGTCACTAAAGCACAGCAGAGCAACGCCTTCACTCGCTGCACCACGGCCCCCAGGAAGGAAAGAAGATTTTCCACGAGCTTTCTTCTTCCCAGTCAACAGAAAGGTTTACTTGGACTTTTCCACCCTATCTACTTTGTCATCATTTGGGAATAAAACATCATAGCTGTATCTGGTTCATCTCCACGGCAGACTAGAACTTTCCTATCTCAAGGATACCGCTTTACGGAGCGATTTTCTCTATTACTGAACTGAGGCTACACTTTAAGGGCTACAGCCCTTTTATTCTGTAGTAATAGAAAACAGGATTCTAGACTGAGCACATCAACTAAATCAACTAAGCCAAAAGTAACAATTCCCTGTTCAAAATAACCATCTGTTAAAAGCACAAATGATGGAATAAAGTGGTACAGGAAACACAAATGGCAGAGTGCCAACACCGGCTGGTTGAATAGGGGTGTATCTGATATTCCGGTAACTCCCCACCGAGTGTTAAGTCACGGTCTGAAGACCTAACTCACAAAAAATAAATTGTCCCGCTTCCCATACTTACACCCCCATCCATCTTCGCTTCCTAATGAAATTATTTATTTCGAGTGCAAAAGGCGCCTTCTAGGACACAATTAAAAAACATACACTCACAGAAATCTGAGGTACCTTCCAGAAGCCCAGAAACAAGGCAGGGGAGCTGCCTGTGCGCCCCACACCTACCCCAGGGCAGGGGGCAAGCAAAGCCCCCGCCCGCCGCACAGAAGCAGGGCGAACGGGGCAGCGGGCCAGGCCGGCTGCTTGGCGCTGCCCGCACCGCGTGCGGCTGGCTGCAGAAGGGTCCCCCGGGAAACAGAACGTTCTGGGACCCCTGATTTCTTATCACTCAGGAAGAGCAGGAAAATAACAGCAAAGGGCACTCTTCTAAGCACTTGATGTGTAGTAACTTATTTAATTCTCCAAACAGCCCTATTATTATCCCCATATCACACAGATGAAGAAAGTAAGGTGTGAACGAAAGGTTAGCACCTCGCCCCAGTTCCTAGAGCCAGGAGCTGCCTGCTCCCACACTGGCTCGCAGCCATTCCCTAGCGACAGTTCAGTGCATTTCACCCCAAGGCCAACGCCGGGAGTCTGCGCGCGTGTGTACACAATGTCTGATGACGCAACTCCCAGCATGCACGCTCCATTAGGACACAGGTCCCTTTGAAAAGTTACAACTCAACTGTACCCCTTGCTATGAAGACTCTGCCACGATGACACCTCAGTGTCAGGGTGACACAAAAATATTCGTCAGTGCTGGGCTCCAAGGTGTAGCTACGCTCGCGCCAATATATACCAACCTGTGGGTTCTCCCCCGCCTTTGGGGCTCAGGTTTGTCCAGAAAATGCTATGATTGACATGGCCTCCGCCGTGGAACTTCAGTGCGGGCTGAAGAGCTATCTGCGCTGTGACGTCACCTGAAATGTTAAAAGTCAAATCCGTTTTTTAAAATTCTTACTTTTTTAGCCATTCTACACACTATTTTATTCTTTGTAAAATGTCAGATAATTAGATCAGTTTGTCTATAACATCCTCTAGGTCCTAAGATTCTACAATTTCAGGATTCTACACAAAAAGGCCTTTGCAAAATTGTTTGTCCCAGTGGATTCTCGGGTGATTAGTCAGGTGCTGAAGAACGAGAGCGAGAGAGAGCGAGAGAGAGAGAGAGAGAGAGAGAGAGAGAGAGAGAGAGAGAAAGAGAGAGCGCGCGCGCGGTCCAGCAGCGGGGGCGAAGCTAGCAGAGCGCTCTCTCCTGAGCTCCAGAGAACTCGGAGTTCCCTCAGAACAGTCAGGAAGTGGTGGAATGCGAAAACGTATGGTTCCCCACACAGACTGTGGGAAACGTTTGCCTCTCATTTTCCAGGTAGACACCTATTCACTGGGAAGTATCCCAAGGCTACATTAGTAAGAAATGCCACACAGTCGAAACTGAACTCCTGACTTCAGCCCGAACGTGCTCCTGTGGGTTTCCCCGCCTCAGGAAGTGCCAGCTGTCTTCTCAGGACATTTCTGATAACAGGGTTATCTCTGACTCCGTTCCCTGCAGTGCCCACATCTAACCCACCAGCATACCCGCCAGCGACGCCGGCTCTCCCTTTAAAGACATGCAGAGTCCAACCCCACCTCCAGACGCCTGGTGCCGGCCAGCGGCGTCTGTCTGTCCCCAGCATTCCTGCCCGCCTTGGGCGCAGACCTCCTGCTTCCACACTGGCCCCTGGCAGTCTGTCCTCAACACAGTGGCCCAGGGCTCCTCTAGACCCCACGCCAATCGCTGCTCTTCTCGGTGTGAACCCCAGGTCCTCACAAACAGCTACAAAACTGCACACCAGGGGACCCTCTGCAGCGCCTAGCTGGCCCTGCGGCTGGCTCAGCACGCTGTCAGCCTAGGGTCCCCGCCGCAGCCTCATCCTTCATTCCCTCAACTCTCCTTCAAGTTTCCACCAAACTGCCAACCCCATCAGTGAAGCCTCCTCTAACCACAGTAAGAAACGGGCAGTTCCCTACTTGTTCTCCCTGACACTTACAACCCCTGCCACACTAAATCTTTACTGGCTCACCTGTCTCCCCACTAAAATACAAGCTCCAGTGAGGACAAGGCCTTTCATGCACTGCTGTGTCCCAGGGCCCAGTATGTTGCGTCGTACATAGCAGGCACTCAATGAATGTTTGTTGATTGACTAGATAATTAAATATATTGAATGTAGTTTCTAAGGTAAAAAAAAATTCTCTGATATCTACAGTACTTAAAACAAAATGTCACATTTGAAAAATTTTTTCTACCTTGCTCAACAAGGAGGCAAAATATTTTTATATGCCTTCCAGAAGCTACAGAGGAACTAAACTATAAGATAAAAATAGGAATTCCCTTGCTAAATAAGTATTGAGTGTTTATTACTCACAGGACAGCAAGAGACAAAGTGAAGGACACAGGGAACCACCGAGGTCGCTGCTCAGAGCTTATATAACAGAACAAGCTCTCTACCTACTGGCCTCAGGATGCACACCAAGAACGTGTATAAGAAACGCTATTGTTTTCTTAAACAAGGCAGCCTCCAATTGGTTAGCAATGCAGAGAAGAGACGAGAACCACATATCTGAATACATAGCTGGTCTTTGAGAGTTTTTTTAAAGATGCCAACTTCTTGCTGTTATGTTTATAAAACAATTTCCTCACAGATCAGTGTCTCCCTTTATTAATTTTTCTTGGAAAGCAACCCTAAAAATAAATTTAACTTTATTAAATTGTGTTTTAATAAGTCAACAGTAACTACATTTTTCTAATGGAAAAAAAAAAACCATGCTTAGTGAGAATGTTTAATAATTTCAATCTCTTAATCATTTTTAAATTATAACAGAAAATTGGGGGGCTTAGTATCTGCTTTTAAGAATACTTTTCTGTTGCCCTGGCCAGGCAGCTCAGTTGGTTGGAGCATCACCCCACACACCAAAACTTTTCTGAGGTTCAACTTTTTCTTTGCTTTCATTTCAGTTTCTTTCTTCTGTTAAACACAAAAGTTAAGTAAGTTTGCTACTTACATGTGATGAGGCTGATGATGCAATTTTACTTCTACTCCTTTAATCCAAATTTCACACATAAAAATTTAGCTCTTTAACAATTTTTAAAATATAACTTTTTAGATTAAAGAAAGCTCTGCAGGTACTTATTAATTAATAGGCAACACAGAATATAATGTAAAGCTTTTTTTTTCCCAGTGGCTTTCATTAAATAAGTAAAGCTTTGACTGCTCAAGAAAGGGAGTGAAAGCAGGTTGTTTTTAAAATACTGGAGAGAGGTTTGTAGGTATCAGATGTTGTCACATAGGAAATACTTTCACAATTGGGATATTCCCCAGCCTATTACCACACCCTCCCCACATTTCTTATGTCCTAAATCACCAAAACTTTTCCCCTATTCAGAACCTTTTGCTGTATTTCAGGTTTCTCGGAGAGTCAGAAGTAAATAGTCCAGAATGTGGCAATTTCCTCTTGTTTTTGTGTAGCTATTTACTTCATGAACAATCAGGATGAAATACTACACTTTTCCACTAGATGCCCCCAGGCAACAAGATTTCGCTGTCAAACATTTACTCCACCAATTTCACAGGACTAAAATTCAATAAATTACATATATTTAAGGACAAAAATTCTTTTAAACTGTGTAGCTCATGAAGCCATACCTGCAGTCTGGAAACACGACTGTCAGCTGTTTCCTCTGCAAAGCACTGTGTAAACTAATAGGTCTAAAAGTATAATAGTTTTTGTATAGAAACATTAAAACATAGTATTGCCACACACGCCCCCAGACACAAAACACGAAAAGTTTACACGTATACTGGTTTTGTCAACTGGGCTGTTAAAAAGAAAAAAAGTAACTCCATATTATGTTACAATTGAATTCTAAATAACAGTAAACAAATACGAGCGGGTTTCAGGCTCCCCCAAATGGATTATTTTCCTTGTGGATTTCAAGAACACGTGGGGCGATCTACCGAACAGAGGAGCATCTCCTTATGGAGACACGCCTGGCCGTCAGCTTCCCCGAGTGGGGAGCTCGCACCTACCCTTCGCCAGCGCCTCTTGGTACTTTTCCTCGGTGATATTCAGGTTGTCCACGTAGGCCGCGTGGTGCTTGCTGTGGTGCAGCTGCATGATCTGGGCGTTGATGTGAGGTTCCAGGGCGCCATAATCGTACGGTAGGTCGGGGAGTTTGTGCTTCTGCCTGGAGCCCAGGGACCCCAGGGCTGGCACCAGCTTCCGACTCGTGCTGGGGAGACAAGCAACACAGACCGATCCGCTCACGCGGGGAGCCCGCTTCACGCCCGCCCGTCTGCGCAGACCCGGCTGCAGGGCGAGCGGCGTACCTGGGCCTTTCCACGGTTTGCCCGCCCTCTCGCCCGCCCCCTTCTTTGGAGCAATAAACACGCCGCCGTCCTGCGCCTGACGCACACCTGCCTTTAGGCAGGGCCGCCCGCCGCTTCGCCGCGACACCTGGGCCCCGAAGGCGCCCTCGACCCCGCCGGGACCCAGCCCGGCAGCCGCTGAGCGCGGAAGGGGACCGTAGAGGCGACCACTGCGCCGTCCCTCCAAGGACCCCGCCGTCAACTCGCCGGTCGCACCCTTCACCCTTGGAGCAGGGACCGTATCCCTGCTGCGCCGCGCGGCCCGGGCGCCTAACCTGTACGCCGCTCGGGAGAGCATGGTGACACCGACAGCAGGCCTCCTCGAGTCCGAGCCGCCACGCCGCGCTGACCGCTCGGAGTGAAGCGGCGACCGGGCTGCGCCGCAAGGGCACTGCTGCCGGCCGCAGGCTCCGCCCCCTGCTGGCCGCTCCCACCGCGGGGGGGTGTGCTGCGCTGGGGCTGCCTCGCCCCCACCCGGCCCGCGCCCTGGGCCCAGGGGCGCGAGAAGGAGGGTCGCAGACACCTCTCCCAGTGGGCTAAGGGCGCCGCGGTGCCCACCTGCCGTGCTTCCCGGCATGTCACCCAAGGGAAGGCCGCCACTCCCCCAGTGTCGGATGGTACGGTCCGCAACCCCGCCCGCGTCGGCACCGCCCTGCGGATGCCGGGGGTGGAGACTGGATTAGGGGGTCTGCGCGGCGTCCCGCCCCTTCCCCAGTGGCCGAGTTGGGGCAGCCCCGGGGTCAGGCGACCTTCCCGAAGGAGAGATGTTTCCTGAAACTGCCTTGGCGCGCTCCCGCGCGTCCGTGAGGAGGGCGGGTCCTGGGTGCTGGGAAGCTGTGGGGCCATTGCCCCCCCCCAACCACCGCCGCGAGTGGCCTTTCCGAGAAAAGTGACCTTGGGCACTTCTGCAGGCCCTTGCCAGGCCGAGGGCGGTTACTGAACACCTGCGAGGCCAGGGACTGCGCTGCAGGGTTCGTATACATTTATCTGTATTTCACCCCGAGGGAAGGTTTCGTCCACTCCAGCCTACAGCTCAAGAGTTCACTGAAGTTAAGCAGGTTGCCCTGGTCACACAGCCAACAAGTAATGAGTCAAGATTTCAAATCAAAGTTCATATTTTCTTGAATACCAAGACCTACCATGCGATTCTTGAGTACTTGTCAGGAGTGACTTCCATGAGCTAACCGCTAAGGGAATATAAAGAAATACAACAGAGGATTCTCTCTTACAGTGTGTTATAGTCTAATAAGCTGAATCAAATGCTTTCTCAATTAAAAAAAAAAAATCCTGAGTTCTCTGAGCACTCCCAACATAGAAGTTAGGAAAGCTTTACGCTGTTACCGATCTGAGTTGGGCCCTCAGTGAATGGAATAACATAAAAGGAAATAGATAGTAGGTGATTAAAGAATTTCAGCTCTCGGGGCAAGATAGCAGAAGGGGCGGGTGGTGGGAAAGGGGTGCTGGAGTGACTCTGCTTTCTGGTCACGATCTTGCCACCTTGGATGTTACCAAACTACCGCCGCTTTCACACGAAGTTATCAGCAGACAAGCCACAATTAACATAAATACAATTAGTCATGTAGCTCATGGGAAATCCAGCTGTAAAAGCTGTTTCTGGAGGTCACACTGTCAGGTTCAAAAGTGAACTAGAAAGAAATATTACAATCAAGCTTGGCTATGCTAATGATAAGGTTTACAAACTTGATGACTCAAGTTGTCCTCTGCTAGAATGTTATAGATCCTGTGGAAGCAGTGCACCTGAGTTTCCTATAGACTTTCCAGGGACCAACGGGAACTGCAGATTAGCCAGACATGTTTCCTTGGTCCTTTGTCCTGCCGGGATGGTTACTGTTCTGATCAGGACAGGGCGGTGAAGGCGGCACTTCTGTTGATGCCTGGTAACGAGTCTCGTCCTCATCCTCAGGCTTCTGAACACCTGGCTGCTATAGAAATTGTGGAACTGAAGCATATTTTGATTCTGCAAAATAAAATTGATTTGGTAACAGAAAGCCTGGCTAAAGAACAGAGTGAACAGATCCTTGCATTTGTATACAAGGTACAAAAGCAGAAGGATCTCCTGTTATTCCAATTTCTGCTCAGCTGAAATACAGTACTGAAATACTTATTTTTTTAAAAGATGTTATTTTAGTTATTTTTAGAGAAGGGAAAGGAGGAAGAAAGGAAGAGAAACATCAATGTGTGGTTGCCTCTTGCGTGCCCCCTACTGGGGACCTGGCCTGCAACCCAGGCATGTGCCCTACACTGGGCTCCCACCCAAGTACTAACCAGGTACCCGACCCTGCTTAGCTTCCGAGATCAGACAAGATTGGGCGCATTCAGCGTGGTATGGCCATAGACTACACTGGGAATCGAACCAGCACCCTTTGATTCACAGGCCGGCGCCGGCTCAATCCACTGAGCCACACCAGCCAGGGCTGAAATACTTACTGTTATTAGATCCTTTGATGTCAACAAGCCCAGCTGTGAAGTTGACTTTAAGGAGCATATAGCTGGTGGCAGTATTCTAAAAGGAGTGTTAAAGGTGGGCCAGGAGGTAGAAATCAGACCTGGTATTTAAACTCTAGTACTTAAAATAGGGTCTCCAGTAACTGCACAAATTGGCATAATGTTGGATCGAATCCACCAGAAATTGATCATTCCCAAATAATGTCTAATATTTATATCAATGAAGGCTTGGAATGAAACTTCACTACAACCCACTTCTGCTATAGCACATGTTCCACTGAACCTGTCTGAAATAAAGTTTTTCTTCTTCTTTTCATCATTCATCTTTGAGTAGCTCTGGGCTTGACAGATTGTTATACCAGTAAAAACTGGAAGATACAAACTCTTGAAGACCAGCTTCCCTTTGCCTCATATTTTGTTACTTTATCTCTGTGATTTTGAGTGAAAACAAATTAATTGGTTCAAATAAAATTAATCTTCAGAGCATGAAAAGGACAAGAATTTCCTTTATTTTCTTCGACCTCTTGCACAACCTCCTAAGGGTGATGACTAGGTTTGGACTCGGGGAACAGCAGGGGGAACCACCCAGCATGACTTCCCGGCAGGAGGGCCAGGCCTTGCTGGCAGTTAGGAGAATGTACCCAAGGCTGTGTTAGAGTGAAGGAGGAAATTCGGGTTGGAAACAGATCATGGATGTTCTTAAAACAAACAAATGTTTGGTAACAGGAAATTGAGAAGCATTTTAGCTGAACTGAGCTGAAATGATGAGCTGAACACATCAAAAGTAGTTCTTCAGGCCCAGTCTGGTACTGATACCACAAGGGGCCGGCTAGTTAGGAGGCTGCTGCACGAAGCCTAGCATGAGGTACCAAGAGCCAGGTTTGGGGTACTAGCTGTGAAAACTGGGAGAAAGGGGATTCTGAAGGATGGAACAACAGAATTCAGTGACAGATCAGTCACTAATAAAAGGGCTTGATCTAGTGAGAACAACATATCACTATCAAGAGACTGCCCAGTCTGAAGGCATGGATGTGCTTCTTGTTTATACAGATGGTGATACTTCGAGACTTAAAGTGGCCCCCAGACCATGCCTTTTTAAATTTATTTTTTATTTAAATATAGTTGGTATCCAATCTTATATTGATTATATTAGTTTCAGGTGTACAATATAGTGATTCAACATTTTTATACCTTACAATGTGATCACCCCACTGATTATAGTAATCATCTGTCACTGTGTAAACTATCACAATATTATTGACTGTATTCCCCTCCCCTTTTTGTGTTTTTGTTGAGTCATTTCATTTGCAGGCGAGAAGGAATGTACAAACTGGATGTTCTGATTTGCTCAGGTATCAGATGAGCTACGGTGAGACCAGAATGGGGTAAAGAGTTGAGTACATAGCAGGTAAGTACAGTAAGATGGGATGTGAACTATGAAAGGGATGAAGGACAGTGGAAATAGTGTAAGATCAATAATTTAGAGGTACCTTGTTGTGTTAAACTATTGTGAAAACCAGAATGAAAGAGACTGAGCTTGTAAAAATATAAGAAAACACATTGGAGATAATGACCACCAGGTATAGAATAGCAGTTACCTCCAGAAGGAGGCTGAGAAAGGCTGTTGAGGTGGAATAGAAGCACAATTTAATTTGTTCTTTTTCAGTTACAGTTGAGAGGCAATATTTTTTTATGTTAGTTTCAGGTGCACAGCATAGTGGTTAGACATTGATACAGTGTAAGTGATCCCCCAATAGCTCTAGTGCCCCACCTGGCACAGTATGTAGTTATTACCGAGAATGTACCCTTTTGAACAAGCAACAAAAATGGAGTAGAGAATTTATAGTACAAGTCAAGTAGGAGTGCCTCTAACATAATATCTGTCACCAACTCCACCCTTCCAGAAAGACAGCCCTGACTACAAGAGTATCTGAGATTGAGACCAAGGGTTTCGGGGTATGAGGTAATGAGAAGAAAGTTTCTTTTTTTATTTTTATTTTTATTTTTATCTATTGGTTGTAGAGAGAGAAGGGAGGAGAGAACATCAATTTGTTCTTCCACTTAGTATATGTATTCTTTTTTAAATTACATTTTATTGACTATGCTATTACAGTTGTCCTGATTTTCCCCCCTTTGCCACCCTCCACCCAGCGCCCCCACTCCCTCAGGCAGTCCCCCCACCATTGTTCATGTCCATGGGCCGTGTGTATAAGTTCTCTGGCTGCTCCATTTCCTGTACTGCTCTTTACATCCCCATGGCTGTTCTGTAACTGCCTATTTGTACTTGTTAATCCCCTTCCCTCTTCACCCATTCTCCCCCTCCCCCTCCCATCTGGCAAACTTCTGGTAACTTCTTTTCTCTGAGTTTTAAGAGAATCTCTTTATCTTTAACTTTTGGCCTTTTAATAATGATGTGTCTTGGAGTGGGCCTCTTTGCATCCATCTTGTGGAGGACTCTCTGTGCTTCCTGGACTTGAATGTCTATTTTCTTCACCAAATTAGGGAATTTTTCTTTCACTATTTTTTCAGATAGATTTCTAATTTCTTGCTCTTTCTCTCCTCCTTCTGGCACCCCTATGAGGTGAATGATGGACCTCTTAAAGTTGTCCCAGAGGCTGTTTTTACTATCCTCATTTTTGGGGTTCTTTTTTCTTCTTCTTCTGCAAGATTTTTTGCTTCCTTATGTTCCAAGTCATTGATTTGCTTCTCAGCTTCACCCATTCTACTGTTGTTTCCCTGTAATTTGTCTTTATTTCAGTTAGTGCATCCTTTCTTTCTTTCCTTTTTTTTTTTTTTTTTTTAATGCTGCCAAGGTACTCACTAAGTTCCCTGAGCATCCTTATAACCAGTGTTTTGAACTCTGCATCTCATAGATTGCTTATCTCCATTTCATTTAGCCCTTTTTCTGGAGTTTTTATCTGCTCATTTGG